CGTAAATGACGTTCACTTGCTGTTACGAGTACAAGTGTAATAAAGGAGACTGCAAGCTCCTGGCAAACGACTCCTACATCGGAATGACTACCACAACCCTGTCAAGACGCTTAACAATGCACCTACAAAATGGAGCCATCAAAGAACACTGTGCCCGCATCCACAACCAAAAACTCACACATCAGGACCTAGTACAAAACACCAAAGTAAACCGCCGATTTAACGACTTCACAACTCTTCAAATTCACGAAGCAATAAAAATCCTACAGCAAACTGGGAGCAGGAACTACGGAAGGAATCAGTGCATGCCACTTAACAGTGGAGAGCCCTGACTGGATAGAGGAGGAGATTAGGATCAGAACAATCATAAAAGTGTGATATGAAAGTAAGGAAGATAGGTGTGAAGGTGGAATTACCCTCCAAAGTGGCTAAAGTTTTGGGCAGAAAAGAACAATCAGGGAAAAGAACCACATAGGAACTGTGAAATTAGGTGCAGTGATCATCAAGAGGAACACATCCGAATGATGATGATGTCTGCTAACAGGAGGAGGAAAAGGGTCTTCAAGGAGAGGTGAAATAAAGAACAGGTCGACAAGGGTTCAAAAGGAAGAAGGGTAAGGGTGTGAAGGATGACACTGAGGTTCCAAACTGGGAGAGAGACAGGGTGAGGAGGACTGGTAAGGTGGAGGGAAAGGAACAAAAGGAACAGGACCAGCAAACTGAAAACACAGGCATAATGTGTAAGACAAAATGTGGCTGATAAATCCGCATGATAGCCCATGACGGAAGAGACCTAAAGACTCCTGTCAAAGAGCCAAGTTAGAAAGGAAGTGATGTGGGAAAGGTAGGATGGAACAGACAACCACCATGTTATATGGACCAATGATGGTGAATGTACCACTTTCATTGGTATACTGCTATGGAGGATGGATGTAAGGAATGGGAACTACAGGATGCTATATGCTGCGAAAGTCTGGTTCACTGGGCAGTGATTGAACAAAAGCCACACGAGATTCCCACTGTCCCTATCTACAATCTAGCAAAAGTTTAAGATTTGGAAAAGCAGGCTAAGAAATGCAGGCTAAAGTGGAAGAGAGAAGTGTAAAGGTATCTGCAGAAAACCCCTCAGAGTTTCTGTGGAGAGCCTCTGATAGGAGATGTATGGAAGAAAGAAACCAAAGAGGTTGGTCAGGGTAAGATGTAGGTGAGAATATTGGGCATGGGTAAGACTGACATTAGATTCAGGGGATGCAGGAGACCCAGATAGGTAATAATGAACCTAACAACTGCTGATCTAAAAAAGGATAGTCTGCACGATAATAAGAAAGGGCGAACTGATCAGAAGTACTCGGTGGGTGCAGCATGCTGATCCCCTCACTTAATTGTGAGACAAATTCATCCACAAATATCAGGGGAAAGAAGAAAAACCAAAAACAATTGGGAAGATTGTTCATGTAACAAGGAAGGATGAGGAGAATAACAGACAGGGGAAAGGGACAAAACATCACAAGCATGAGACACAAAATCTGTAAAGACCGAATTAGGCCTAGGTCATTCTTTAGGCTGTAAATGGGAAATAGCATCAAACTCAGGAGGCAGGAAAAAACAATCAAAGTCCTCATCACTCTGAACAAGATCAGCTGACTCAGGAGGAGCCTGGGCGATGTCAGGGGACAATGGTTGACACATGTAGCACTCAATCTCCCAATGTATAGAAGCAGAGAGATCCACCATCGGGTCTCCTGCACCTGAGGCTTGAGAAAAAGCCCTGGTCGTTCGTATGACCCCCAAAGTGGTAACGTGAATTTTGGAATTCATAGCACAAAAAAAAGGTTCACAAAAGTTGACTGCAGAAGTAGAGCGACAAGAAGTAACTGGTATAATATAAAATAAAATAAAGTTAAAAAGAACCACTTCGTGTGAAAAAAAAAATTGGTATGTCACACTGGAAGCACTAGGCACACAAAAGAGTACATATTAACTCAAATGCTGCCAAACGAGAAGTGAAGGCTCGGTAGAGGCGTGTAGAGGGAGTCACATGCATCACGTGTGCATATCATCCTCCTATTGGTTAAGAGATGACACATAATGATTTACATAAGAGACATGTTGGAATATAGTAATTCCAACAAGGGAGGAGCAGAAAGACTAGAGGGAAGGGCAGCTAGTCATCACCACCCACCACCAACTTTGAGCTACTCTTTTACCAACAAATAGTGGGATTGACTGTCACATTATAATACCCCCCATGGCTGAAAGGGCAAGCTTGTTTAGTGGGATGTGGATTTGAACCTGCAACCCCCAGATTGCAAGTCAAATGCCCTAACCACCTGGCCATATCAGGCCGAAAATAGGATCGGGCCCTTAAAAGATGTTGATGGCAAGACTACAAGATGGCTGAGTTTTTACATGTTTTTTTCTCTCCTGTTTTTTTTTACAAGAGAATACATGAGAATATTCCTGGCCCCGACTGTTCTTTTGGAAATATTGAATTTGACTTGAATCAAGTAGATATTAACCATTTGGTATTAAGTAGAAAGAATAAAGTATATAAAGCTCTAGAGCCATTAGAGGTTTTCCAAAAGACACTAAAGAAGATAAAAGATGAAATACATGAGCCTCTTTCTCTCTCATTTTTGGTAGGTCAATGGACATGTGTCTGATGATTTGAGAGTTACTAATGGTAATCCTATTTCTTAAGAGGCTGCTGAGAGTTGCCCTAAATATTATAGATAAAAGCTATAATTATAATAATCATTTATTGAAACATGACATAAAAGAAAACCAACATGGATTCACTGGGGGGGGATTCTTTGTTATTATTGTCTATTATTTGTTGTCAAGGGTGTTGCCTCTTATCTTGATGACAGAAAAGGAAGTGGATTTGATGTACTAATATTTTCTAAAAGCTTTTAGTAAAGATTAGTCAAGAACATCACACTGGTAGGTGTTGGGGAAAGACTAATTAATTGGACTGTAAGTTGGTTTGAAGAGAAAGCAAAAGGTTGAATTGGACTCTTGTAATTAATGCAGTGCCACAGGAGTTAGTGCTTAGGACTTTGCATTTTCTTATTCACATTAATGATACTGAAAGGAGCATCATTAGTACATTGGTAAAGTTTATTGATGACATTAAACTCTTGGATATTTCTAGCTGTATGAGGATGTTGAGGTACCACAGAATGACTCTGAAAATAGCCTTTAATTAGAGTAAGTGCAATGTATTACATTATGCTTATCATAATGTGGATCAAATGTTTAATACAAATGGAAACCCACTTAATGGTGGTTGAAGATGAGGATCTTGGCATAGTGGTGCATAAATCACTCAAGTCATTGAAACAATGCTAGTAGTAAAGCTAATGGAATTTCGAGATGTATTTATAGAAATTGATTACAATTTGAATAAGGTACATATTTCTCTGCGCATATCACAAATTAGGCATTAGTTGGAATAGCATATAGTTTTAGTCTCCTTATCCAAGAAATGATATAGAAAAAGGCTACATGGATGATTCTGGAGAATAGAGGTTAAGAGATGATCTAATTGAAATTTACAGGATTATCAGGATCAAGGACTGATTTCTTTGTGCTTTAATCTGAAAATAATAGAATGAGGAAAGAAGTTTAAGATTTGGAAAAGCAGGCTAAGTTCCACTTAAGAGTTTTAATTTCTTTAGAAGGTGACTTACTTATGAAATGAGTTACTGTCAGTTTGTCTGCAGAAGTGGAAAGCCACTTACAAGGGTTTAAGAAAGGAATTAATGATTTCCTGTTTTTTGGTGTTTTTTTCACTTTTCTCAAGAATGGGTGTGCAAGAACAGTTTTGAAGGTTCAGAAGTTCCCTTGTTGTCTATATATTTATAGTACAGATAAACAACCATAAGGCTTCCATTATCAAGTCTTCAAATTATTATAATAATTATAAATCAATTAACATGATCTATTTACCTGTTGATAAATTCTTCACTAAGTGCATTTGTCTTTTCTCTGTGATAGGCTTGCATATGTTTGCTAACGTCAGAATAAGTATTTTTGCGTGTGTGGGGCTCTGATGAAAATTCTGTTTTATGAGATGAAGTTCTTTGACCTTCCATGTTGTACTTGGATTTCTTTCTAATATGGTCATTTCCATCTTCAGAATCATATCTGGAGCTGAAATTTCTTTTCATGTTACTGGCACACCCCTTATCTTTCACATAATGAAGAGAAGATGTATTATTTTCACTTTTATTGTATGCACTTTCTCTTTGACTTCTGGATAAATGATGGCTGGAAACAGGGCTTTTAGATCGAGATCGTGAATGTCTTGTCATCTTCTCTAAAGTTCCAGGTTACTACAAAAAAAAAGGAATAGCTTAATTATAAGTTAGCATAGAATTAGTACAATTTTCAATGGTGAAAAAAATTATTGAACCATCATATATTAATTTACAAGTTGGTAAAAGTATAG